CATTTGCGTTTAGTATGAAACAGATTGTCGCCTCATGTGTTGACTTCAATTTCCACTGACATATATATATATATATATATATATATATATATATATATATATATATATATATATTATGAGATAGTGGTTAAAATTTATCGCCCTAACTGACGAACGAAGAAATTTTTTTACAAAAGAAATCTGATGTTTGATTATTTGTTCAGGGTATATATATATATATATATATATATATATATATATATATATGTCATTCTCAGACAGTACTGTTTCGCTGTATCACAGCTCGTCAGTGAGACTAAACATCCGAATACTTCAAGCTCGGATTGAAACCCAACCGATTAGTCAGTGCTTCTACCACTAAGCTATCCTCATTCGACAGAGAGAAACAACTAAATCTAGCGTATTGTTTTTATGAATGAAAACAAATGCCAATCAGCCGGAGTGCTTCAATTCATTTTACTGAAGAGCTTTGCATTAACGCAGGTGGCTGTTTTTTTTTTATAGAATTAGCCTATCACTCAACAGTGCTCAACTGAAATATATTTTCAAGAGCTAAATACACACGCACACATGGAGAGGCAGTCCTTCATTTCACAGAAACTGGGAAATGCCCGAATGGGTTTATTCTCCTTTCCATCTAGAGGTTAAATAGTACTGTAAACTAAGCTCTCAAGATTTGACTAGCAACTAGTCTAAGAGATGGAGAAGTCTGAATTTCAAACTGTAGGGACATAATAAACACTTCACTATTCTTCATGTGATTGCAATGCCTATTTAAAGATAATAAAGACAAATTTGTGGAGAGTCATGATCGCTTTTGTCCTGAAATGCCATGACGTTACAACCCCCCCTCTCTCTCTCTCTCGGGCAGGATGTGGCGACTCTCTCACTGTTCTATTCCTATTTCCATGGAAAGTGCTCGGACGAACAACATTCCTTGGTTTCGCCAATTCTAACCCTCACGGTTAGCAACCACCATACCATGCACACTGTAGCAAACTACCATCAATACCTTTGTATTCCATCGTCGAGATCTAAGTTCCACTCGAACAGCTTCTTCCTGCGAACCCCTGCCGTATGAAACAGACTCCCACGAGACTATTTCCCCAATCACTACAATCTTAACCTGTTGAAGTCTAGAGTCAACCGTTATCTTCCCCTCCTCTCCATACAAAATACGCCTTAAAGTGACCCTCTACCTTGAGTGGCCTTCTACAGGGTTAACTTCCCTGTAAAAACAACCAAACAAATCCATATATAATATATATATATATATATATATATATATATATATATATATATATATATATATATATATATCAACCCAACAAAAGTAAGCGAAATGTTTGTTGTTTCAAGAAAAACATTATTGATATCATTAGTTTTAACTAGTTTAGTAATATTAACATTAGTAATATTAAATACTCTTTATTTTCGGAGAAAAGTAGAGTTACCCACCACCCTTAATTTTCTAACGTCCCTTTTTGTTTACTTTTTCTGCAACAGCGACTCTCTAAATTAGAATTTATATTTTTTATTTCCAAACTTATTTTCAATCTTAAACGCTAATCTGGGCCTAAATTCAAAATTAAACTACAATTATTTTAAATATTTTAACAACAATAATATTACACCCGCAACAATAAAGTATCTCACGAGAACCAGATATATTTTTTTTAATACTAGTGTAGAGGGCCGTGTGGGTTTGAGTTTTGTTGCTTTAGGGACGCGTGCTGTTTATTCCTGCTAGAAGAAGGTCCAACAACAAGAAAATGGCGGACTCAAATTGTCCAACCGATATATATTATTATTATTAAAATACACCTTTAAGTGCCGAATCCAGGAGCGTCGTCAATGTTGTTGCTCCCATATCACTAGAAGTTTCGGGTCTAAATAAACAACAACCCGACCGAATGTGATCAGTATTCGGCCGGCACCTAGAACAAAATTTGCCACTAGCTTTAGGACGTGAATTATATAAGTAGCCCCAGTAAGCAACAATCAATCAAGACTTCACTTGGGCTATTCCAAGTTATAGATTAGGTATGCATGGTTGTAGTGATCTTCCTACATGCGGCCAAGATAGGGTGTTTTTTTTTTTTTTTTTTTTTGAAGAATAGAAGAAAACCTCCCCTTTTAACTTCTATAAAAGGACTTATTTGTTTGGTCTTTTTCTTTTTTATTTTAATTCTTATTTTCTTTTCTTTTCTAAACTAAACTTAATAAAATTTACAATAGAGTGATTAAAATGACAGGCTATTTACAACTTTAAAAACTAAGAGAAAAATATTTAACAAAAATCGCTTAAAAATAAATTAATCAAACTATTTACATATTAAATACTAGTTTTAAAAAAAAAAAACCAAAACGTGTAAATTTTAGGATTTTAAGATAAAATAAAAAAATATCCTCCTCCAAAAAAAAAAGAGAAATAACCTAACTTGTTCAGGAATTCGTTTAAAAATGGTTAAGGCATGAAATAACATTCCATATATATATATGTCAAAAAATATATGTATTAAACGAAAAGATTTACAATGGACATTTGTGTTTGTGTGTGGATTTGAAGAGTTTGTTCTTTCATGAATGTACGTGCGTGTATGTGTGTTTAATGGTGTTTTCCCATGAGTGGGAAAAACGCGGATTTCTACGAGAGATTACATTTTTAAATGTGTCCGCTGAAATGCAAAGTGTAAAAGAGAACGAGGCAATAAGTCACCCAGTATTTATAGTATAGGGAGAGCGACCCCTAGTGCAGAATTAGGGAATTAAGGAGGAGCTAACTCTGACACTGGTGTCAACCCAAAATAAAAATAATTCCAGCACTTGACAATTGCTTCGGCATGAAACACAGAATTGTACAATTAATGTAAGGAATTATGTAAATTTTTTAATCTATCTATCTATCTATCTATCTCTCTCTCTCTCTCTCTATATATATATATATATATATATATATATATATATATATATATATATATATGATTATGAAAGTGGAGACTTTAGATCCTCTTGGTAATATTTTATTTCAAAAACAGATACTACGGTTTCGTCTCATGAGACCAAATGGTTTCAAATAATAAATGGATTCAAAAAATTATATTTTCCAGGTCAAAAAAAAAAAAGAAATATTTAAACATAAAATATGCTTTAAAATAATAATGATAAGGAAGAAAGATATATATATATATATATATATATATATATATATATATATATATATAGAGAGAGAGAGAGAGAGAGAGAGAGAGAGAGAGAAAAGGAATCGTTTTGGATGAAAGCAGACAGGTTGATCTATTTTCACGGGATGTGAGAAGTAAGAGAGAGAGAATATATTTTCAACAAGGAACAGAGAAAAGAGACAAAGGAAAGAGAGAAAAGGAAAAAGGAAGAAAAAAGGAAGAAAACAAGAGAAAGAAAAGGAAAAAAAGGGAGAGGTGATTCGGAATTGGTAATTTCCGGGGTTTAAAATTGAATATATTCAAAAATTGTCTGTAAAATCATGTAGTTATTTATGACATCAATACATGTATAATTTTAAAAATATCTAATCATGAAAATAAAGTAGTATATACTATATGCTGCATATATATATATATGTGTGTGTGTGTGTGTGTGTGTGTGTGTGTGTGTGCGTGTGTGTGTGATTGACCCTGATCTGGCATCTCGTCTACAGACGCTCTCTCACAGATGTGCCGTTGCCTTCCCCTGTCTTTTCTACAAATACTTTCACGGTAACTGCTCCGACGAGCTACTTTCGCTAGTTTCCAAACTGCATAAATTTAAGCGTGCTACTAGGCTGTCATCTCAGTCCCAACCTTTTATTGTCGAAACGGTTAAATGTGGCCGTCTCTTCTACTCCAATAGCTTTATGTCTCGCACCTCCCGTCTGTGGAATTCCCTTCCTATTACTTGTTTCCCTGATAGCTATAATCTCCAACCATTCAAATGTAATGTCAATCGACATCTCCATATGCCTTGATCTATTCCCTGTCCTTCTCTTCATCCTTTCCTCTATCAGGCCTTTTTAATTTTGCTCCCACTCTTTGTAACCCCTTGTGGGCTAGTAGCAACCCACCTTGCTTGGGGTGAAATGCTTAATATATATATATATATATATATATATATATATATATATATATATATATGGGCAGCATATTTTAATTTAAGCAGTTTTGGTTAAATAATTTAAACGTATTATGTCTATTTATTTTAGGTTTAATCCTTTCAAATCCACAAATTAATTTTATGGTGGATGTAGAAAAGTGATTAAGAAAAATACCAAAATTTTCTTTCAAATAATTTTTATTTTCCCAAGCACTTTCAACGAATAAGACAAGGGAACACTTCTTCTTCTTCTTCTTCTTCTTCTTCTTCTTATTATTATTATTATTATTATTATTATTATTATTATTAATCTCTCTCTCTCTCTCTCTCTCTCTCTTAATACCAAGCACTAGAATCCCAAAGAGGTGCTATTAAGGTATCCCCCAGAAATTCTCTGGTCAACGGGTGCGAAACACAATATGTTTCATGTCGATACTTCTCAAGATTGAAAAGGCATGTAAACCTTTCCTTACTGCCAAACAGTAAGTCAGATGTTTTTAGTTCTGGGAGAGTCCTTTGTCCCTGTCAACATAAACGCGTTCTCTTTTCATTTAAACATGAAAGCATCAAATTAATTAGATATCTTGTTAACGTTATCGGGTGATTAAACCAAGTGCAGGGAGCAGTGATTTCGTGACTTTTTCTATGTTATTGATGCAAAATGAACCGAATAAGCATCAATCCGAAATCTGTTCTTTGATTATATTTCCCATGCAATTAACCATCACGTGACCCGATACTTACCAACTTTTAACAACTTTATTTTCTCTCTCTCTCTTTGTCTCTATCTATCACTTTCTTTATCTTTCCCTCTCGACTTCTCCCTTTCTTTCATTCTTTCATTCTTTCTTTCTTTCTTTCTTTCGCCTTATTTTCTTTCTCTCACCCTATAGCCTTCTTTCTTTCTTTCTTTCTTTCTTTCTTCTATTGCTTTATTTTCTTTCTTTCACCCGCTCGCCTTCTTTCTTTCTTTCTTCCTTGGTTTCTTCCCTTACTTTTCCGTTTTCTTTCTATCGCCCACTCTCCTTTCTTTCTTTCTTTCCTTCTTTCTTTCTTTCTTTCTTTCTTTCTTTCTTTTATCGCTTTCTTATTTTCTTTTGCTCAGACTCTCTCTCTTTCTCTCTCTCTCTCTTTCTTTCTTTCTTTCTTTCTTTCGTCACTTTCACATATTCTTTCTCTCACACTCTTGCCTTCTTTCTTTCTTTCCAATTTCCTTTCTCTCACTTTCTAGCCATCTTTCTTTCTCTTTCACTCTATCTTTATTTCTACCCTTCTCTCTTTCATTCTCTCTTCGATGCTAACCTGAAAAAAGAAAGAGAAATATACGACTTACAAATATGTACACAGACACACACACACATACACACATACATGATTTCTATATATAGATATCTATGTATTTTTTTATATATAAAATATCTTTGCATACATTTATTTTTTTGATTTTATAAAAATATTTTGATGTACATTTTAAAGTATATATGTCGATACATTCAGTTAAATTTAGCAAGACCAGTTTAACCATAACCACTCAGGTCGGTAAATATATATAGTTAAATGCTCTGTTTATAATACTCAAGGCGGAAATATGTATGTATATATACAGATGTGCAAATATAAATAAAAAACTCTCTAGGTTTTGTGGACTGATTTAAAATCCAACAAACACCGAAAGGCTCTAATATATATATATATATATATATATATATATATATATATATATATATATATATATATATATATATTCTAACCTGCGTCGAAACACGTCGTTTGTAGCTAATCTTCTATTCATTTAATACGGTGGTGAATATTATACAATGAAAATTACAGATCAAGTTTTTCATTAATAACAGCTTTTCCGGCTACAGACATATTGATGCAGGCCATTTAATTTTTGCATGTACGTTAAGCATAATATAAATGCATACACACAAATGCATGCACCCAAACATACACACACACACACACACACACACACACACACACACACACACACACACATATATATATATATATATATATATATATATGAAGAAATATAGTTTTAAGCAGTGCTATATTTATGGGTTAAAGTGCTCAATATCAGATAGAGCGTATGTAAATATAAATATAAAAGTGAACATTGAAATCAACATTCAGAGGCGACCGGCTGTTTCATGTTAGACGCAATCGTTAGGCGGCCTGTGGAATGCGTCTACCGCGAAACAGCCTGTCGCCTCTGAGTGTTGATTTCAATGTTCACTTTCTATATATATATATATATATATATATATATATAAAGAGAGATGCATAAGTACATTGAGTTCGCAAGCTAATGATGAATATTTTCAGTAATATTCAAATTTTTAGTTCAAGAGATAGATAGATAGATAGATAGATAGATAGATAGATAGATAGATAGATAGATAGATAATTAGAAAGTTATGACTATATCTCTTCTTTCCCCAGGTATGGGTGAATAGCTGGAGAGATTGGCCGCTATAGCCTTGTGTGACAACCAGTCTAGGAGAAGAAAATTCTGAATACAATTCCAGCTCGTATATCGTTTCTAAAAAGGAACAGCACCTCCTATTTTGAGCCGTGAAGAAAATAATCGGCTCCTCAGGCTTAGCGCAGTGGTTCGAACTAAGTCTTGATTCGAGAAACGGCACGAACATACTCCGAAGGGTGTATCACCAATGGCAATTTAGACGACGACAGACAGGAATAATGAGTAATTCTTGGACGATTAGAGATTTTTTTTTCTTTTAATCATTATTGTTTTTGTTATGCCTCTTGATTCCTTGGGGAACATATATGGCCGCAACAACACCTCTCCAATGGAATCTATGTATATATATATATATATATATATATATATATATATATATATATATATATATAATTATTTATTTAAAAATTATAACATAAACATGTTATAAAATCACTACAAAAATAGCCACTTTGTTTCAACACCTCCGGTGTCTTATCAAGTGATGATGTTGAATGTAAAACAAATGGTTTTAAAAGTTTCAAATTAATTAACGATCTTTCACAAGGGGAAAACGTTACAAAAGCTAGAATGACCAATCAAAATATAAGTATAGGAAAATTCAAAAAGCCTGACAACGAAGTCATGTTATAATAGCTATTCAGATCGTTAAAATACGGGTAATATTAAAAAAAGAATTTATTCTAACCAATAATTATTAAATTATATGATAGAATTTGATACTAAAATTAAAAAGTGAAAATTTCAAATTCCAAATTTAATCGGTATTAAGTTTAAAATTAGTAAAATTAGCGAGGAGAAAGAAAGAAATATATATGTTATTCAATTTATTTCTTCATTGAAATTACGTTAGAATAAGACGTTACTCCATCCGGTCCTCTGACAATATATATGTATACATTTTAATCCTAAGTGTGCGAATGTGGTCGTAAACTCACGCGTAAAACAACACAAACACAATCAGTCACAATCAATATATGTCCGGATACATAAGCATCCAGACATATATATATATATATATATATATATATATATATATATATATATATATATATATATATATTATGACTCTTGATTCTGTGAGGAACAGAGCCGCTCCAGCGCACGCGGTTCCGGACGATTCTCTTCAGCTCGGCCCATGTCGTGCCGGCTGCCTTCACCTCTGCGTCAACACTGTTTTTGGTGGACCGAATTTTGTGCTTCCCTTGTGGATTCCAGTGAAGGGCCTGCCTGGTGACATTAGAAGCAGGCTTGCAGAGTGTGTGGTCGATCCATCCCCATTTCCGTTTCTTGATGTCAATCTCGATTGGGGCTTGTCTGGTCCTGTCCCACAATTGGTCATTGGAGACGACTTCCCTTGTGGATTCCAGTGAAGTGCCTTCCTGGTGACACTAGAAGCAGACTTGCGAAGTGTGTGACTGATCCATCCCCAACTCCGTTTCTTGATGTCAATCTCGATTGGGGCTTGTCTGGTCCTGTCCCACAATTGGTCATTGGAGACGACTTCCCTTGTGGATTCCAGTCAAGGGCCTGCCTGGTGACACTAGAAGCAGACTTCCCTATCTCCGTTTCGGAGATTGGGGCTGTGTGACCGGTCCATCCCTATCTCCGTTTCTTGATGTCAATCTCGATTGGGGCTTGTCTGGTCCTGTCCCACAATTGGTCATTGGAGACGACTTCCCTTGTGGATTCCAGTCAAGGGCCTGCCTGGTGACACTAGAAGCAGGCTTGCGAAGTTCCATCCCCATCTCCGTTTCTTGATGTCAATCTCGTGTGGCCAATCCATCCCCATTTCCGTTTCTTGATGTCAATCTCGATTGGGGCTTGTCTGGTCATGTCCCACAGTTGTTAGAAATGACTTCCGGCCAACTGATACATCGGTTGGTAAATGTCTGAAGTTTGTCGGTGTTGGTCTTGGTTACCCGTCAGGTTTCTGAGTCGTAAATTAGGATCGACATGACATTGGTGTTGAAGATCCAGATCTTGTTGTAAAGTGAGAGGGTTATTGATCTCCAGATTGGCCACAGATTGGAGCTTGTCTGGTCTTGTCCCACAGTTGGACATTGGAGACGACTTCCGGCCACCTGATATTGAGGATGTTCCTGAGACATCGGTTACTAAATACAAAGAGTGGTTGACAACAGAAACATGGGCATTGATCACCGAGAGAAAAGAACTGAAAGACCAGATCAACCAGACGCAAGACCTAGAAGAGAATCAGGAATTGCAAACAGAAGAACTGGGAAGTGAAGAGAAATGCGAGAAAAGACAAGAGAAACTTCATTGAGGCCCAGGCCCAGGAAGCAGAGACTGCAACCAAGTAAGAAACATGAAAAGTCTGTATGAAATTACAAGGACTCTCTTTGGGAAAAACAGTAAAACCTGATGACCCGTCAAAAGCCAGAATGGCGGTACCATCTGAGGGGAAGGGGAACAAAGACCAAGATGGTTGGAATACTTCAAGGAAATACTCAACAGACGCCCAGAATCCGTTTCCTCCATATATTCATTTTTATTAAAGAACGCTAAAGCAGAATTCGAAATTCTGGTTTTTCGTCTGCCAACATTTTACCCGGGGCAAACTGCAAGGTCGGATGAAGCTCAGTCGGCCCTGTACGATATCTTATAAAGGAGCCTTAAATGAAAAAAAAAATACTATATGCTGTGACCCTACAAGTTGTGAGCGTTCATCGCTCTCCACGACTTTCTGACCTTTGTAACTCTCAGCAATGTTTGTTATTTTTATCTCTGTTCTGCCAGCCATTTTCACAAGTTCGTTAGGTAGGTTGTTCATTTATTTTCTCTGTCACTCTTGTCTTCAAGAAGTCCTCTGAGTGTTGGATTTTCCAAACCCTCTTTCTTCATTTTTTCAACTATCATTCTAAATATCAGTGTTTATTATGTTTTCATTTTCTCTAAAACTTCGTCGTTGCATACATGTTCACTCCATGTTATTTTGTGGAACGTCTTTTCTTTTAGTTAAGTTTCTTCATCTGCGAGGAGATTGGCCAGTATTCATTCCCATATTTGAAAACCAATATTACATAACAGTGCAGTCATTTCTTTTTCTTTGTGTCTAACGAAATTTTCCTGTTTCTTAATACTTTGCTTAGCTTTTGGAAGGCATCTTTCGCTATTCCCAAGCGCCTTCGGATTTCGGTGTCACATTTTCCGTCCTCTGTTAAAAGACTTCCTAAATATGTAAATTGTGGTACTTGCTTGATTTTGTTGTCTCTCATTCGATGTTAGCATATTGGGTTGTTCTTTTGACTAGCAACTATGAATTCTGTCTTCTAACAATTGAAGCTTAGTCCTTTCTTCTTGCTTTCCTTCACCGCTTTCTCTAGAAGTTCTTGTGGTCTGCTATCAACCAAGAGTAATCAGATTCTAACCTGAGTCATCAGAATCAATATTGAGTCCCCATTGTATTTGTTATGGGACCTTACCCATAATAACATAATGGACTATTCCATACGTAATAAATACTGCACCTCAAGAGGAAGCAGGGAGTTCAGTCCGAAGTCGGACGACCGGCTGATCGGCTGTTCGGTTGAACTCTCTGCCTTCGGGCGGGGAGGAACCCGAACGAGGCTACGCCGAAGGGCGGAGACACTTTCGGCGAGGTAAACCGAACCTGAACCCGTTTATACGGGTTCAAAGGGCATATTTTTGGCCGAGCCCACGGGCTCGGAGATCCCACGTTAAACCGGCCTTGTGCCACATGATGCCCTCGTGGGGGG